TTATCTAAATCACTTTGAAATATAATTTTTTGTTATTCAAACATCTTTCACTGTTGAATATCTAGTATCTAAATTGCTTCCAAATATAAATCTCTATTATTTAAAAACTTTTGACTATTGAATATCTAGTATCTAAATTCTATAGAATTATAAATCTTTATTATTCAAATTACTATTATTATTAAATCTCAACTCTCTAAAACACTTTGAATTTAGTATTTCTATTAACAAACTACGTTTAATATTAGATCTCTATTATTTAAACTATTTCCGAATACTGAATTTCTAATACAAATCACTAATCAAAGTTCAAGGACTAATATAGATAATACTCAAGATAATATCTTCGAATCTTTATACTAAATACTAGAATTAGCGTACTATTATCTGAATCATTATCTTCAAGTTCAAGTTCTAAATGAAGTCAAAAAGACTTACTTGGAGAAAAATAGCTCTAGATGAAGAGCTTAAATACCCGACTTTATAAATTTTATATAGATACAAATGAACTATTATACATTTGGCCTGCTAAATATACGCTATAGATAGAGCTGATAGCCTATAGCTACAGGGATAAGTACTGTATATTCAGGCTCAAAACATGAGCTAAAATACTCAATTTTAAAAGATCTAGTAATCAAAATGAACATTTTCGCAATTCAGTATCATCAATCATATACTATTCAGGGAGGAATCACATCAATTCAAGAAAAATAAAGCCATTGAAGGAGTAAAGAGCAATGCAATTATCTATTTAAACACCACCCAAGCAAGCGCAAACGCAAACGCTTAGTATTCGCACCAAACCACCAAAGAAACACCAAAGAAACCCAGAAACAACTAATCATCGTCCTCATCAATTTCCATGGCGTCAGACTCGCTCTCTGAAGTATCCTCCATTTGACGAGAGCCCATTGGTCCAAAATCAACACTCATGGTCATGAGACCTCCTTCATTGTTGGCCATGATTATTACGTTTTGGCCGTTGCCAGTGAGGTTGTGAGAGGGAAGGAAACCTTGAGTTGATGGAGGTGGTGGTGGTAGAGCGACTGGGGCAGCAGAAGCGACGGTAGCGGTAGCAGCAGCAGCAGCAGCAGCGGTCGCAGCGGTCGCAGTGTTGGCGGTAGTGGTGGTGGCGGTAGTAGTGGTAGTAGTAGTAGTGGTAGTAGTAGTAGTGGTGGTGGTGGAAGCGGGAGCAGACTGCCCACGTTGGCGGAGAGAGAGACGGGAAGAGACAGGCGAGGCTATGATGGGGGCGGAGGCTTGAGTGGCCTTGGCCTTCTTTGGTGGGTCTTCAGCGACGGCCTCCTTGCTAGCCTTGCGCTTTAAAGCGCCAGATTTCTTCGAGGAACCGGCCATTGTGGGAATTGGAGCGGTATAATAAGGTTGTACCGTAGCGACTGGAACCCTGGACGATGTGCTGAGTCGAGAAAGTGTGACGAGAGACTGCAAGATCGAGAAGCAATAAGCTAAAAAGAGGCAGGATATATGAGCTGCGGGATAACCGAAGACAGCAGAACTTGTAGGTCACAAACAGTGTGTATGAGCTGCAAGATATTCGAAGACAGCAGAGCTAGTAGAGCGAGAACAGTGTGTGATACCTGCGGGATGCGTGGATGAAGCAGATTGTGGCAGAGAGAGAGTTGGCGAAGATCGTAATATCGTCAACAGGCTTTAAAGCGCGAACTGTGTTGAATCGACGTCAAAGACATCAAGAGATAAAAGCTTGTAAGCACCTTCATGTAGTTGTAGACACAAAAAGATAAAGCAAGATCGCAGTTATGTAGTTGTACACCGAGGAGCAGAATCTGGAAAATTGTTGTTGCTGGGAAGAAGAAACAGATCAGAATCTGAGATTGAGGACGCAAATATAGCAAGTGATTTCACGCTAGTGCTCAACGTTTTTCTGTCTACCTTGTGGGGTAGAGCTGGAGATCGCATCTTAGTGGTCGATGGACGGCAAGAGCCGAAATTTGCAGTGTCTGATTGATCTATTGGGCCGTTTTTAATTCAATTATGGTACGATTTGGGTTTGAGTCTATTACTATTTTAAATTGCGAGATATATGAGATTGGCCATGGCTTGCTGCTCTTGGATAGTGCCCGAGGTATCTAACAGATGAGGCTGTACTCTGGTTCTTTATGACCTCGACGAGAGCCTTGAGAGATCTCGAAACAAATCTCTAAAGTCAGATCTACATAGTTTTTACAAATCAGATGTTCCTGCAGCAATGGATGGGCACACAAAGAAATTGACAATACAATAATAAACAAAACTTGACAGAAACAACCAAAGTATGACCCGGCCAAACCATCTAAACTACAACTATAACTACATACTGAGATAAATCATACCTCCATAGAAGCCCAGAAAGTGTTCTCACTTATAAAAACAGTTTTTTGAAGTAGTTATATCGAAGTGTTGTTGGTGACTTTTGTTGTTGGCCCCCTGGATTAACCGATGGGAGATGTCAATGAAGGGATCGGATAAAGGTGACCCCACCCACTTTATAATACTGAAGTAAATAACCTTTTGAAAACCCACCCAAACTCCAAAACCATGAAGACAATATGATTGTTCTCTACAGTGGTGTCAATACAATTATGATGAGTATATCTTGCTAGTTAAATCTTTCAGTTGTTGCAAATGACGAGGGAGAGTGAAGTAGGTCCGCAGATATTTAATGTTCCTAATTGAAGATGAGAACACGATCAATATAATTGATATGAAAAATGGTGTGTTAATAGATACTCTCAATCTCAAAGAGTGTAGGCTGGTATAATAATGTCAAGTGTTAGAGGGATATCCAAGCAGCTCATTGTATCAAGCCATCACTTTTGTCTTTTGGTATATAATCGATGGGACAATGTGATACTTTAGGTGATTTATTGATCTTGTGTTGTATCCTAAGTTCCACACAAGATCTTCCTTGCGTATCTGAAGGTAGTTGTTTGAAGTAAATCTTGCAGGATAATTGAATGTTGGTCATTTAGTTTACTCAGATCTTAGACCTCAGAAGCAGATAATTCTTGCTCACTCACTTCAAGCACCCATTTTCAGACATGCAACGTCAGAGTTTTAGATAGAGAGTAAAGATCATATGCTTTGGTCTCCCGACCGGTGATATCCCAGGATTGCTGATGATTATGTCATCAAATAGTTGAGATATTTATTTGTTGCATATCGCATTTCTTTCCCCCATGTGTTTCTTTTCTTTTCTCTCCTGATTCATGATTGGTGTTTTGAACCACTAGATCGTTGCATATCGCATTCTCTCCTCACGTGTCTCTTCCCTCTTCCGGCCCATCTTCTATCATTCCTCCTTCTGTTCAGTATTCGAATGCTAGGACTCGTTTCTGCCGTGCCGTATTATAAACACAACATTGGAAATATCTCATTGCAATGCACGACGAAGAATTGATTAATAAAGCATGACATCATACATCCACTCTGTTTAATCTTGTTCTTACAACAACCGTACAATTCATCAATCTTATTCAGAGGTAATCTCGTCTTCCGCGGTGTCCCTTTTCTATTCTTCAAATACAAATAAAGAACCCTTGATACAAAAGAATTACCATGGCAGCACAGAAGTTTTTTCTGTACAGAGTTTCAGGATAGACCAGAGATTCGAATAGCTGGAAAGTCCATTCATTTGGCGGAGAATAGAATAATTTGGCAAAGCGGCGTACCTATCACATACACCAACAGTTCACCGTTAGAAGTTGCCCTTGTCCCAGACAAACAACTTTACCGTAAGATCTTGGAAAGTAGATCGAGGCGTTCTACCTTGGCACTTGCTCGTCTTGGTGTGCTCGACTTACACATCAGCGACTCACTCCAAGTTAGCTAGAGAGACCATTGGATCGGTGTTTTGCAAATTCCCAGGTACATTTCCTACCGAGAATAACTTCGCAGAACCCGAGGTCGTCTTGTTTCCTTTCTCTCTTCTCTCGCATTGAAATCAAAGCTAATGATGCACGAAGGGAGAGTGTTTCAAAAACTACTGATAAATTCCGTTTATTCCCATTCTCCAAGCCGCAGGCGTATCGGATCATCTCATGTGAATGAATTTCCCGCGCGCATATTACTAGGCTTTGTTCCTCCTATAAGTTGTTCATGTAGACACTCTTCTCCCTTTTTCATAGACCTTGATTTGCCCTCCCCAATTGCGAAGTCTAACTAACTCTGGAATCTCATGAACATAATATAACACTTCACGGCAGCTAATACCGCAACGTTCAGGGCTTTGCCGTATTTGTCATCCATCTGGCCAATGTTCACTACTTGCGAAATCACTTCAGCAGCTCCTACGGGATGCTGACGGATAGATGCGATTGCTCATGCGGTGAGAGGAATTTCTATATGTCCAAATATTTGGCGTCTACGCTGTATTTTGAAGCAAGCAAATTCTCATATTGAGAACATGGGCTGCAATACTATAATCCATTTATCGAAAGTGAGAATTTAAGTGAATTCCGCTAGACCAAGTTAGCTCTTGCTTCCCACTGGGAACTTGTCGGTCATTCTGGGCCATTCCTTCTTTTATTGGGCAGTTATAGGTTGTACTTTCATAGCTTTTTCTTTGTGGCGATTGGCTATGATAGGCTATCCTACTTCTTGTTGTAGCTAGAGCAATTAACATGAACCTTTTGTATAGGAACCATGGTTTAATAGATTACTCTTATCAAGAAGTGAATTGCAGAAGATCTACGGCCTCGCATCACACATTACCTCTTTAAAGTTGTCCAAAAATTCCTTTCCTATTCCATCACCATTACAACTCCCTTCCGTTCTCTTCGACTTCAAACTCCCAATCTCAAACCAATAACTTCACACTCAGATCACGATGGCTGCACTCCGAAAGATCCCTTTGGAGCTCAGAGAGAAGATTTACGGTCCGGTCCTCGAGCTTGACGATGAAGAACCTCTACCTTTCTGCTCCGTAATCACCCAACTCAAAGACATGGGCGCTTTTGAACGAGCTTTGATTCCAGAACGCGATCTCTATCTTGAGTTCTTAACATTTAGGATCAAGAACTCTGTACTCCGAATCCGCCCTAAAACAATTACGACAGGTCTTTTCAGTGAATTCAAGTATGACTCCACTGAGTTAATGTGTCCAATGGCGAGAGATTCTATTCGAGCAGTTAATGTCGAGATACCAGGGTGAGTAACCCAACAATGATGATATGAAACCTATCTGACATTATTTAGTTCCGCTGGATTGGCTGGAGAATGGACTCATGCGAAACTTAAGCTTCGGGATACAAAAGGATATCCGTACAAGTTCAAGGACAGGAAGTTCAAAACGAGAATGATTCCAGATTTCATATTTGAGGTAAGGAATGCCAAGACTTTCTTCCTGGATCCAACGAGATAACTCAGAGGTTAGTCTTTACAACATGCCCAGAAGATTGAAGAAATCTGTTTCAACTTTCTGGAGTGTTCACACTTGTACATCCATAAACCTATGCCCAGAAATCACCCTAAATACAGGCTCAAGACTGAGTTACTGGGGGGTGTAGGTTTGTGTCTGGCCGAATCTAAGCTTGGGTTTTATTTGAACCAATTATCACATCTTCACACTTTTAAGATCTTCGGTCGAAAGATCGTAGTACTTTCACATCTCTGTATCTTTGTCCTCATTCGTCTTCTGGGATGGATGAAGACGGCATCTTTGAATGCGATTATTGTCTCAATCAAAGTTGGATCTGGTCTGATCTTGATGAACACTTTGATGTTGAGCCGACAACTTTCGCAGTTAAGCCAGGTTTCAGCAGGGTTTGGAGTGTTAAGAAAGGGGAATCTTTGAGATGGAAGTAAAAGGCGCATACTGTGGTGTAGTGAGGACGTTGACTGGAAACGAGACTCGGAGTCGGGGAACCACATCTTTTGGTTAGAAAGCTAATCTGCTTTCTAAAATGTATTCTCATCTTCAAAAATATCATTTCGTGTCTCTTTGCTCTGTGGCTCAACATCTCGAAATTTCTCCCCTCTTTGCTCCATCATTTCCTTGATTCTTCTCTTCCAGAGAAGCCATAGGACAAAGAAAGTCACCGTAATAGGGACTGTATCTGCCCAATAGATGTAGAACTTCTTCGACACCAGTCCTGCATCATCACCTTATTGAAAGGTGATGCCTGTCCCACCGTGATTAGATATTCTGTGGATAACCCATCTTTTTGATATCAATCTTACCGCAAGGAATGTGCCAAGAGAAAGACCACTCCAAATGATGACATAGTTGTCTGTTTCCTCGGTTCAAGCATCGTTATAAGTTCTCTGTGCCTTTTCCTTTGCTCTTCTCTCCTGCTCTTTGTTTTCCTCTTGACGTGTAATTAGTTTCTGCCTTGAAATTTTATTGAATTCCCTCTACTTTTCTTTTGTTCTAAGATACTCCAAAACGCTTCCGAACTTCAAGATGGGTATTTACT